GTTTATAATCTTTAGATTACCATTTGGTTTGCTGTGTATGTGGTTCATTTTGCTCATTGCTTTTTGCTTGCTATTTGAGCGACTTAAAATACTTTTTCATGTTTGTGTGTTTCTTTTGTTTTACTTTAATCTGTTTTTGTTTTTAAAACTTCATTTACTTTACTCATTATTTTTAGTGCTTTTCACTTGTTTACATAGCAAGTCTAAAGTTAGAAAGAGCAGCAAAAGACTTGCAAGTGGTGACAATAGTTCAAAAACAGGAAATGTTATCCAAATGTGCACGCGGAACAGATGATCAGGATGGTGGCCACTGGAGTGGAAACTTCCATTCAGCCTGTTTTTTCCTTATTTTGCTCAGTTTGTACATCAGTTTTACTTCCTGGAAAACAATTTCCTAAAGTTCCAATTAACAGCTTGCATATCTGTAAAAATGAGGTTAGCACGTGCTGTGCTATCACGGTTCCAAGACTGAATAGCCGTTAGCAATGACCTTTTGTGACGTTTTAAAGCTGAAAATAGTAGCGTATATCTTATTACTGTTGCATTTATATTTGTGTCATAGTTCAAGTATTTTTTTCTCAAAACATTGTTTTTAGGGCTTGTTCACACCAAGTGTGGAACAGATGTAGAACAATTACAGAATGCATCAAAAAAGCATCTAATGTCAATCTATTTCAATGTCATTTTGGACTCTAGTTCATGCCACGGCGTTCAGTTCCAGACCATGTGGAAAAACTGCAGCATGCCTTATTTTTTCTGCTCTGTACCGCACCAAAAATGCATGCAAATGCCCTGGAACGCACTGAAATGACATTTTAGGCATACAGTAATACCTTGGTTTACAAGTAACTTGGTTTGAGAGTGTTTTGCAAGACGAGCAAACATTTCTGAAAAATTTTGCCTTGATATACGAGCGAAGTCTTGCAATAAGAGCAAAATGTTGTAGAAAAGCACCACAGAATAAGGCTGTAGCAGTGCGAGCGATGAGTCTGTTTAAGGACAATGCAATGTCACATTGGATAGATTCCTTGTTAAGGTTTCACTAAATGAAAAAGATTCCTTTGAGCCGAGAGCAGTGATATCCGAAAATTGGTTTATTTTTCTTTATATTTTGTACAGTATTATATTATATTATTGTATTGTAATCATTTTTATATGAATATTTTTGGGTTGTGGAACAAATCTGAATTTCCATTATTTCCTATGGGGAAATTCGCTTTGATATACAAGTGCTTTGGATTACAAGCATGCTTCCGGAACGAATTATGCTCGTAAACCAAGGTATTACTGTATATACCTGAATACCTGACCAGGCTGGGCAGCTCATTGGCTGCCGGCTCTAAACGATCAAAGATTTTCCGACCGGCTCCTTCGATCAGCTGATCAAGGGATGCTGATGGAAAGGGCAAGGACAGCGGCACACACTGTGCAATTTTCGTCTGGTTTCTCAAAAACTGACTGTTACAAAGTAACACAATGTATGTCCTCGGTTTTAGTAATTTTCTGGCCTGTTGGTAAGATTGTATCATGTTTAGAGGAAAATGGTTTTGTATTGTAACAAAAGGGGAATGACTTCTTCACAGTACTCTCTTTTTAAATTAATTAGGCACAACTCCTGCTACCCACTCGACAATTTTAGAACTGGCAAATGGCAGTCATGATTTGTTTACTCATTTTGAATGTCACATGGTACAATAGCAATGACTTCATGGTGTATACCATGAGCAGGGAGAGGAAAAAATGTATTGTGGATCTGAATAGGTTAAATCCAAAAATAGAAGTGCTCTAAGAATGTGAGCTATTCTCCAATAACAAAGAGTAGTTTATGCGCAGTTTTGTGCAATCTGACGAAACAGAGACACTTTTGTACTATGATTAGTATGAGTGCTGATGTCAGTTTGCTTGTCTGGCATTAAGCTTTATGCTGCTACTAAACTCCTCTTTGTACTCGCAGCCAGAGGACCTTTGTATGCGCCCTATTAAAGTGCACAGTTAGTGATTTGTTTTTTTTTCAGTCCTTCTAGCTTAATCTGTGCCAGTCCCAATGAGTGACTCATTCAAGACACCAACATAAAGGCTAGCAGGTGCTTCTCTCCTAAAGTTAGCTGTGTCGTTATGTACTGCACAAAGTAATTGGACATCTGAGGAAGTCACAAAGTGATAGTCATTTAGATGAGTAATCCAAACGATTCAGACTTGATGTTTTGGGGGAAGAGGAAGCTGAGGATGTGTTTTGAAAAGGATGACTATTTTGTAATGAAGTGACACATTTGCCCTCTGACACCAATTCAAAGCCCATCTCCGTTATGTGCTAGTGTTTAATGTGGGGAATATTATATACAGTTGTACAATAAAAAGCGGATGGTTTAGGCAGTGAAAATTAGTTTGTTTGAATAAAGTGACATTAAAGGCAATTTTTTCCCCCTCCCCCCCAATATTAGTGTTCAGACTTGGCTTAAATGATGCCTCTTAATCCAATCATCATCTTCATTAGTGTAGTTTTCAGATGTCCCTCCAGCGCTGGTGCGGGTCTCCGATCCAGCGCTGACTCCTCTGTCCTCCTCTCCTGTCCCACGGAGTCTGTACGGGTGCACGCTGCTCCATAGACTTACCTTGTGCGTCTCCTGGCCGAACATCTGAACTGTACATGCGCCCGTCCGATACATTTTCAGATGTTTGGACTGGAGTGCGCGGTGGAGACACAGGTAAGTATTAACCCTTTGAAAGTTTTTTTGGGGGGTCATTTTTTTTAATCGTTTTGCGTATATCTACTGCTTGCTAGCAATAGATATATCCAAAAACATGCAATGGTTTAATAACCCTTTAAATTATTAGGAATTTTGATGTCTCATGTCACTCTGCCTTGTATGCTTGTGGAGTTTAGAAATTTAAACCAGGCCCCATATATTCCAGTTTTTTTAAATGTTGGTTGTAGCTTGGGCATAGTTCAGTTCTTCTTTAAGGGAAAATGCCAAGTCATATAATTTTGTTTTCAAGCAACACGGATGGATTAAAGTACCTCCTTGTACTCATGGTGTTACATCAATGAGGCTGTAAAGAAAGATCAAATAGATTATATCATGGGCCCATTTACTCATATTATGTCCTTCGTATGGTAGTGGGATATATTCTTACAGTCCAACAGTCCAACACACCAAGCTTAATTTTTTTTTTAATGTATTTTTTTACAGAGTGGGGTAGAGTGCATGCTGCACAACTGACAGGGTGACAAAGTGAAGGGAAACCCCATCAGTGGGTCACATTAAATACTTGACGGGTACTTACGAGGTTATAACTCGTCCCCACTCAACCCAAAATTTTAAGTAGAACTATGGCCTCCCATTAGGAAAAAATGTGTTGCAGCACTTCATTAGAAGTGCATTTGTGCTTACAGTTTTCTCTCAATTTCCCACAAATACCCATTGATCATGCCAGTGAAGTCCACCTAATGCAGCTTCCTGTGATGATGTGGCATTGATACTCCTCCTGAATTCAGTTGCCAATCTCATGGATGCTTTGCCTGCTTGCAGATGCTTGCAGAGTCTGATGTTGCAGCGGGGTGAGCTTGTCAATTTTCACCTTGTTTTCTTTACTTAATGAGGTTTGTGCACCACTTGCTAACTGTATTTGGTACTTGTTTAGATTGTCATATAGAGCCTTCAGCTGTACTTTTAAAAATGCAGAGGAATAATTTCAGTCGCAGTTAAAATCACATTTTATATTCTTGTAATCTAGAGGTGCAAGAGATTATTCCACTGGTATACACTAGAACACTAGTTCAGGGTTCAAAATTTTCACTCGCCCCCTCACAATTGGCGAATGAAAATTGCGTGCGGGTGAGTGGAAATTTAATTTCACTGAGTCAGGCACTTGGTTAAGGACGGAGTGCCCGACTCTTGGGGGAGTTCGAGGCGGCTTCCCGTGTGCCGCTGCTCACCTTCCTGTGCCTTGCTCATGTTAAAAGATGGGCGCATGACGACTGCCATCTTTACTAAGGTCCTTAACTACGCTGACGTACAGTAATTTCCCCGTTCTGAACCAGATGTGATGCTGCATGTATAATGCCCAGTGCAATGTGTTTTGCTGAGTGTGTGTGTGTGTTATGAGTGGATGGAGGCCTGTACTTAATTATAAGGATCAATCAATTTGGGTGGAATTCATACCATATTGAGTGTGAGGAGGGCTTGCTTGTTGGCAGGCCGTGGGGCCCCATGATCGCCTACAGCCACCTAATACCATAGGCATTGGTGGCTTCTGGGTATTAATGGATGCCTCACATGCAAGGCATCTATTAATACCCATCTCTTTTTTTTTTTTTTAAATGAAATTTTGAGCCCTGCACTAGTGTATACCCAAAAGGTTTGTGTTCACTAGAAGAGTAAAGGAAAACTAATACTTAATTACCAACCATGCTTAAAAACGCTGTAGGTGTGACGTTTAAGTATGTGGTATTGGTGCCACATCCTGACAATTGTTCATGTGAAGTCTGGAGAGAAATTGACACTTGTAGGAGTGTCAATCTTCTGGGCCCCTACAGCTCTCACTTGTTCCTTGTGCTGACCGCCACTCATTACGGGAGAGCATGGTGATGTGAAAGTTAGCAGGAGGAAACAGCGAGAGCTGACATGACACGAGTATGGAAATGAAATGCAGGGCAGCTTGTAAAACCACAGAGCATCATGGTGCCACTTATATTTCTTCCCAATTCTGCATGCAACATGGAGCCACTTCCATGCATATAGTCCCCAGGAGGCATCATAGGCTAAGATTTTGTCATTTTATTTTTGATTGTACGTATAGTAAGGGGTCTTGAGTTCAGCTTTAAGCAAAGAGAGGGGTAATATTTCTCCCTTAATTTCAAAGTATTGGAGCCAGAGACAGCCAAGCAACTAGTAAGAGGTTGGCATTGGGAGCCTGTATATCTTTCTCAACACCTATAGCTAAGGATAGATGACAAATCGTAATTATTGTTGATTTTATAAAGTACTTTTTCTTTCCAGGCATGGAAACGAAGATGGTTCATACTTCGCAGTGGACGTCTGACAGGAGATCCAGATGTGCTGGAGTACTACAAGAATGATCATGCTAAAAAGCCTATTCGCATTATTGACTTGAACTTGTGTGAACAGGTTGATGCTGGACTTGTATTTCCAAAAAAGGAGTTTGAAAACAGTTTTATTTTTGACATCAAGACTATTGACCGTATATTTTATTTGGTGGCTGACAGCGAAGAGGAGATGAATAAGTGGGTCCGGAATATATGTGACATCTGCGGATTTAACCCCACAGAAGAAGGTAAGACCAAAAAATAAGAAAAACACTATTATTTAACATTTTTGGGGAGGATTTGTGAACTTTGTATCCAAGCTTTTGAAATTGATAAGGCAACATAATGTAAAAAAAAAACCATGTATACAGGTAAGATGGTGTTTGCTTCATGTAAATGTGTTCTTGAGCCCTATATTGTTGTGTAAATTGTAATTGCAATGGCTTTCCGTTACAGATGTTTGCTTTCTTTTCACTTAAAATGATTTTTTTTTATCCCCAAAAATCTAAACCAATAGTTCCTTCAATAGATGATTGTAAAAGCACACTGTGGTTCCTCCTGCTGGCTCCATGTCACTGCTGAGTCCTGTTGTAATGTGAGTTTGGAGGAAGGAATCATAGCGGAGGGTTGCAGACATCCGACATCCTGAGTGTTAAATGTTAGGGACTTTGCTGGAGACTGCAGTTCTGGAAGACTGAGGAATTTTGAAGTCGCTGCCTGAGAGAAAATATTCACAACCTTCTGTTGCAGGGACCATTGTTTATTTTGTTGGGCGATGCAAGAGTCGCTTTAAAGAACTAAACTCTTTTGGTGCTTGAGGAGCCCTTGGGATAATGTGGAAGTATTTGCACATTCTGAAAAACCTACCTCCTAGTTGGCCCAATGCAAGGTCTGTGTTCCCCTTTCCCGCTTCCTCTCTACCGTCTTCTCAGATCTTTCTTCCGACCCAGCATCTTTTAATTTTAGACATTGGGGCAGTTACCGGTGAAGTAACTCTTACACACGCAGTTAGATTATTCCCTGTTTCAACTCTGGCAAGCCTGTACACTGCACTGTGCAAGTGCTCCAGTTACAGTTAATTAAAAAAAGAATTAATCGAAGGAAGAGAGAAATGTTTTTGGGTAGAAGAGACATAGGCTCTTCTACTAAGAATTTATATCAGCGAGCATTTTTAAAAAGGTTTTTAGTAGGGATGTCCCGATACCGATGCAGGGCATTTTCACAAGTACTTGGGAAAATGCCCTGATAGACAGCGCCGATACCGGCGCTTTAATTTTTTTAGATGGCTTCAGGCTGCCCAGAGGTACCGCGCTTGGGGTCCTCTGGGCAGCCAAACGGGGACCTCTCAGAACCGCCTCCCACAAGCCTTTCAGAGACACCAGGCACGGTCACGAGAGTGACCGGGTAAGACATTCCCTCATGATGCCAACTACCTAAGGGCCAGGTGAGAGACGAGGGAACTGACTCCTGCGGTGAGGGAAGCTGTGACAGGCTGGCTGTGGGTGTCATACGAGACAGGGCCTGTGCTCGGTGCATGTTCTCAGCACACTGTGTGGTGAAAGCTGCAGGCGGGGTCACCAGCCATTTCATTTGGGGGAAGTGGGACAGATTGGAAGAAGCATGGGAGAAATGTTACTGTGAGTTGTGACAAATCTCCCCTGCTAACTTGAATAGGTTAAATGTTTACCTATTCAAGTTAGCAGGGGAGAATTGCTGCAACTCTATTTCTGCAGTGTACTGTAAGTGTGTACTATGGTACTATTTAGCCTACGTTAAATAATCCATAGTACACACTTCCAGTACACTGCAGAAATGGTTACAATTCTCCCTTCCAATCTGTCTCACTTCCCCCGATTTAAACTTGAAGTTATACAAAGTATTGCTGATATGATGCAATGACTAAAATCATTAGTCTGTATTGTTTTATAAAAAAAAAAGTGTCGGTAGTTGTTATCAGAAAGTACTTGTACTTGGTCTTGAAAAAATGGTATCGGGACATCCCTAGTTTTTAGTGCTGCTTTAAAATAAATATCCTTTTCCTTTTTGTGGATTAGAACCCCTTTTGGGTTTAGCTGCAATTCAGGGATCTTTTAGAGAGATGTTCCCTCACTGTTTGAGTTCACTGTACAAAAAAAAAAAAGAAAAAAACAAATTTGGTTAGACATACAAATTAAAGAAAGGGGAGTTGAATTTTGATTATTAGCATCAGTCATATCTTTTCCTGTTCCTCTTGCATTTTTTTCCGTTTTTATTTTAGAACAAATGATGTCCCTTAATTCCCCTTTTTATTGCAATTAAAAGGGAATGTATGGTGTGTTAAGTTGCGGCCTGCACAGCCACTTCATCCATTCACAGATCCAGTCTGGATCTGTAAATGGAAAGACTTCAAGTCCCATCTGCCATTGCAGTGATGCCACCACATTTTTAGCCTATTGATACTTCCTCCTGTCCTGTAACAGAAAGTCCGTACCTCAGATATCTGCTGAGCATTGCATCCGCAATCCACTCATCACGAATGCAGTGCACATTGCTTTATTAATGTTTGTGCATTTTTTTCATCTTTCGGAAAAGCTGGACTATGGCCAACTGTAACCCAGGTAAAGTGGATATGTAAATATATTCCACTCACTATAACAACATACTCATAAACAACCCCTAGATTGGAGGATGCCAAAAGTGCCATTTTCGGCCGATATGTTTCGGTGGCCGATATATCGGTGCATCCCTAATATCTAACAAGCATGTGTGGCACTGGCACTAAACAGAAACAAAGTTTTTTTTTTTTTTGCAAATAGGAAAAAACAGTGAACGAAATAGTCCCTGTCCATCAATTGCCCAGTAGTGCAAGAAAATGTGTTCCAAATTCATACATAAAGTTCCAGTGTCCAAATAATTGATATAAACCCATGTGTGCATTCCTCCGCACTTCCTGTGACCTCCACCACACACTCCCTTAAAGGAGAACTATGACATGAGTGATTTTCCACTCACCTCATGGTTCTAAGCCGACCTGTGACAATGAGACTGTCACAGGTCGGCTCAGTAGATCGGGAGGTGAGGGAAAACATACCGGGTTCTCTCACCTCTCGATCCTGTCACGGCTCTCTGCCGTGAAAGGGGGAGGGGCTGGATTCCCCTCTCCGATCTGCCAGCGCTGACTGGCGGAACGGACGGGGGAGGGGGCGGGTAAAGCTGGCTCTGCCTCTAGGTAGGCAGAGCCAGCTGTCACTCACGCAGCTGGGCGGATCCCGTCATCTAAGTCGGGATCCGCTCCAGGTGCGGAGTCTCAGTATACAGCGAGCTGTAGCTTGCGGTATACTGAGCTTAGGGTAACGGGAAGGCGCTAGTTTGTGTCCTCCCGTTACCCTAAGGAGAACTATGGGAAAAAACACTGACCCCATAGTTCTCCTTTAAGAATATTGCTCACCTTATAGTGCAACCTTTATATTGCAAAGGTCTCAACACGCCAATCCCCTTTGGTCACGAGTGGGAAGAAAACCCAATGTCCATAATAGAGGTGATCCTCATTTACTCAACCACCTTTGCTGACCTTCTCCTCTGTAGTCACCTCTGACAATAAATACTTGCGCTCCCAATCAGTATTCAGGGCTCATCTCACAAGTAAAAAACAAAAGCAGAAGACACCATAGTGTACTCTGTTATTAAAGTTTTAACACTTGTATTACAAGGTACTCCCAAACCCGTATAGAAAACGGAATCCATAAAATGGTTAAAATATGGAGACATCCTATTCAATGCTGCAGCTCTGTCCGTCTGTCGGTGTACTCCCAGGCTCCTCCCATCCAAAAAACATTAGTTACATCTTCCCACTTAAGGTCTATCTGCCTATTCATCTTCACATCAATGGCAAAATACAAGTGTTTTGCATGCTGACATTCCTTTCATTTCATCTTGTAACAGATGAAATGTACGAGTAATCATAGGCTTATGCTTTTGTATGGAGAAATGGTTTGGCACGTTTTAAATAAACATTTGTACTTCAGGTTCTTCAGTCTTTGAAGGTACTCTTATTGTCACACGTACAAATAGCTGAGTTCCGACACGTTACAATTATCACAGGTAACGATACAGCTTCAGCCAATGTTGGTAAATACAAACTGCAGATTCTCTTCTATGGCATCCTAGACCTAAACATGTTTCACAGGCCGCTAACATGCACTGCAAAGCTTGGAGTTCTGTTGCATTAAGGCATTCAGATTGCTGTACTTTGCATTTCGGCAGCTCATTCATTTGAATGGTCTGCCATCACATCAAATCTGACAAAAAACTCACCTGCAGCTTTCTTTGATGCAGAGCACCACAACGCATAGTAGTGTTTCCATGAGTTGCAGTGGTAGCTTGGGGTGCCATCCAGATTGAATGTTAACACATGTAAGATGTGTTACTACAAAGCCAGACACCTAGTAGCTTTAAAAAACTTTCTGTACATATTTTAGATCCATGTTTTCTCTTTTCAGAATTTCCAACATGCAAACAAATCATTACTTAGGATTGCCTACAATAATTAAAACAAATCTACTTTCAGTAACCACATTGTTGGGTACACCTGCTGAAAGATGCAAAAAGCCAGACAACAAATTATATGGCTACATCGATCTATACAAAGTTTGCAGATGTGCTCAGAAGGTTCGGTTGTTCAACCAAAGATAAGAACAGGGAAGATGGATGATCAAAGAGACTTTCATTGTTGGAATAGTTACAAGTGTCTGTAGTGGTGTTTGCCGCATCTCTGAGAACGTTGACCACCTGGGATTTTTACACACTACAGTTTGTTTGTTTTTATTGGTGTTTTGACAAAAACTCTGTGTTTTAAAGGCTAATTCCACCTTTGTGACCTTGTTTCATGCTACGCCTGTATTTAGAGTGCAACATGAAACTTGATCATATTCCCCAGCCCAATTACCTGAATCACATGGTTCTTCTCCCCTTATCCTTTTTTTTGTTTTGTTTTGTTTAATTTGGCGCATCATCCGGTCACTAACTCATTCACAATGATCGCATTTGCCACCACAGCAGTTTGATTCGTAGGTCTCAATGCAGCACAACTGTGGTGACATCACCACACTTGTAATCCATTGGTTGCTGCTCTGTAAACCTGAGGCTGGAGGAACAGTCTACAAACAAAATAATGTACAGTTTTTTTCTTTCATCAATGTGGGTGCATTTATTGTATTTTTTTTACAAAGAAGTGGAATATGCCTTTTAATGACCGATTTAAGAGGAGAATGGATGAACTTGTTTGAGCAGGAAGCCCACAACTGCTGAAAAAAACACTCTTTATAATTTGTAGTATGCAGAGACTCCTGTCCATTATTGAACATGATGAGCTGCAGCAGAACACTATCTAAGGTTCTACTTCTGAGCTCTAAGGACAGGAAAATTATGTTACTGTGAGGACTGGGTAACAGAACTGCATTAGACCCCAGCTCTTGATTTCTGTTGGGGTATGCATAAGGCAGAAACTATTTTTGGCATACACAAGAAGAATTCATCTTGTCATGTGTCATAGATTCAGGGTGGTGGTGGAGAGAAGCAACCTGTGTGATGTTATAAAGTCTATGCAAGAAGGAAAATACCAAAAGTAAACCTGTGCTTTTCCGGTTCAGGAAACAGGTTCACTTTATTGCTGGCCCTGTATGGTGCACATACTTCACTTCTGTACCTCATTTTGGCCACTGAGAGGAAGTCCTGTGTAAGGTGAAAATGAGGACTTGAAGCTTGCATGGTGCTGGGAAATCTTCCCTCGCCCCCATGTGAAAGGGCTGAAACATAGACCTATTAAAGAATGAGAGCAGAAAAACTCAGGTTAGGTGCCGTGAGTGGCCAGTCGTCAAACACTCATGCTACCACTTGGGTGGAAGGGGAGTGAGTCACATGACCCCCATACCCAGAAGCTTGGTGTATTTCCCTTTGCTCCCATCAGCCATATGCAGTAATAGGGGAAACATTATTAAAGCCAACCTGTTGCCTTTACCTGAGTAGGCTACCACTAGTTCTCTAAGGAATGTTTACAACCACTGGATAAGCCAGATGTAAATAGGCAAATATATTGTAGCGCTCACCCCCGAAGGAGCCGCTGGATGATTGTACATTTTGCATTGTGATCACATTCTTTTCTCCCATATTTATTCCTAGGTTACAGCATATGTCAGGGCAAGAGATACAATACAACTAGATGTATCCTGTGCACCAGCTATTAAAGCTGGACATATACACTTAGGATTTCTCTTTCAGCTTGCAGATTGCCCCGTCCATGCTAATTAGGAGCAGTAGCTGTTTGGCCGAAAATTTTTAGACTGGCTCCATCGCCAAATTGACTTGTGAGGGATGAGGAAAAGGGCTGTTTGCATGCCAACCAGGCCAAGCCAGGCTCAAAATTCTGCTGATTCGGCAGGAAATCAGCTTTAGGTCCCATTTACACATAGGAGTTTTGTAGCTTGATTCACCAAGAGAAATACCATTGTTTTCAATGGCCCTTGTTTACATCTGAGCATTCTGTCACTTGTAGCAAAACGTCTGCAGCTTGTAAAAGTACATGAACTACTTTTCAGGCATAATCAAGCAACTTGGCCTCATAGACTTTATTGGGAGCGCATGAAAAATGTTAAAGCAAGTGTTTACACCCATTTTTTCAGACACTACCATTTAAACATATGTGGGACCACAAATGCTCAATTCTGCTCCTTTACTACAAGTAGTGCAATAAAACACTTGAGCTATGCACATACAAACATGCAAATCTACCTCTAAAGCGCCCGGCTATGCTCATGCTTAAGTATAAATTCAGCCTTAGTCCTGTCTCGAGCAGTCTTGGCATTAATTTACCTCTATGATGTGCAATTCACCTCCACACTATGTTATGGAGAGTAGGAGGGCTAGCACACTACTTAGAATTTTAGTTCATCAGAGCCAGCATATCAGAATCGACAGCACATGTCCGTGAATTCTGAATGATCTCAGAAGCATCTCAAACTGATGTCAATTGCAAGTTCATGAACACAGCCCCACTTGTTAGATATATCTAGTAGGATGCAGTCACTGTACGGCCAATCATTTTCCACCCATCAGTCATTTTCCAATTGATTTTTGTCAAGTCTGGTGGTTCTGACAGGACCATCCATGGCTTGAATTTTGAGCAGTGTATGACTAGCTAAAGAAATGATGGTTGGACATTGGTTGCTATCAGAAAGAAGACCTGTTCTTGTTGGCACTGTTCCAATAAACCCCAAGGAAATCCAAAACATAATGTGCAGTTACTAAAATGATCATAGTTCCCCTTTTAGCAGTTTGGAATAGTCAGGCCATTTAACGAGTTCTGTTTGGTTAGTGAGAGTAGCACCTATGCTGCAGATCTCCATTTGCCTTAATGAATGAATTCCATAAGTGTGTATTGTGTCTTGCTAATAAAAAGCATCAGGCTATAATAGATCAAATAAAATTGATGAACAGCAGCCTACAGCCAGCTTTGTTGCATTACCAAATGAGGTGCTGTCCTTGTGTATATTTATGGAAAGGAGCAATAGTCCATGTAGGTTACAGTTTATAAAGTTTCCTAATGCTGGTCGTACACATTATAATCTGATTGTATGGTCTCTGTACAATCTCATTCAGATCTACTAAGCCTATATAGTCTGAAGGCCTAATTTTACAGTCCAATAAATTTGTATTCAATCAATTTTTGGTTTCTGGTATAAAATCAGGTTTGCACATGACGTATACCTTTTATGTAGGGTGACATAATAAGAGTGCATTCTTCAGATTGCAGTGTTTGCCAGAAAGTTGTGTAGGTGGGAACTAAGAAGGGGAATTCCATCATACTAACGAATAAGGAATGTACGAGCGTTGGTATTTGACCTTTTTAATGGAATTGCCTCAGGTTTATTAAATGAAACTGTCATTAAGAAAAATGTATTTACCACAGATGTTTATTTCTTTAACCAAAATCATTTAGTCTTGGATAGAGTACAGAATGGTTAGAACTTCTGTTGGGTGTTTTTTCCTCCTTGCTGTGAACATTGGACAGTAGTCACTAGGACAAATCGGTTTAATTCTTCCAACTCTAGACGTTTCTTGCACTGACGTTTTTTTTCAGGCAAGTTGCATCCTTGGTGTTTCACAAAACCATGACTGAGATTGGAGGCATTTCCTGGCATACTGATTGCGGAGTAGTCCTGAGTGGCCGACGTCTAATTTGTATCTTGGAAGTCATGCAATTAGTTTACTTGTAAAGGCGTGTGCAAAGTTGGAGACAATGAGTGTATAGTCGCTCACACTAGTTGGCAGAGTGTTCATTTTCACAAGAAAGATCCTGCAAAAGTTGTTGACTAGAATAAAGTGTACACAGTGATCAATAATAACCATGCCTTCCCTTTTTTTCGGAAGTTTCACAGTATTCATAAATCTGGCAAAGTTAGAGGTCTGTGTCTGAGCGTATGCAGGGTGAGAAAGTTTCAGGAATGCAAACATCCCATCATATCCTTTATACAAATGAACTGCTGGTCTGGGCAGGCCCATCAATGGGAATGTAATGTTTACATTTTCCATTTATTTGCCTTTGCAGATGTGAAGCCTCACAGTGTTCCTGTCCAGGCTCCCATGGAGATTCCCACGGCTGCAGGTTCAGAATTCTCTACTTCAGCAGGTTCACACCCTGGTCAGCTCCCTCCACCCTACCAGCTGCTCAACGTTCCACCTTTAGAACCTGCCAACAGCCAAGAAGATCCCCAGGACTATCTGCTATTAATTAACTGTCGAAGCAAGAAACCAGAGCCAACAAGGTAAACATAGCAATTTTATAGTACTGATGTAAGCATTCAGAAATGTTTTCTTTATGTTCATAATGTCATGGCAATATAACTGAAACCACTATTTGCAGGTCACTATGCTGGCACATCAATATAGTTTTGTCTGATCTGCTATTACTCCCCAGTCAAGTCCTACACAGCTCTAATAGTTAGTCTAGTGTACTGGTTCTCATTATTGTTTAATAATAATATTATTATACAGGATTTATATAGCGCCACCATTTTGTGCAGCACTTTACAATATAAGGAAGACATTACAGTTACAATAAAAGTCAAAACAAGATGGTAAGGAGGGCCCTGCCCATGAGAGCTTGCAATCTAAATCTAATACAACAAAAGTGGTTTGTCTTTACTAGAAGAAATTAAATTGGCTGAAATAAAAATACATTCCTCATACCAAACAGAAAAGAGAAACACTAGTTTATATGGTATTTTAAATAAATTATAACCGCAAAAATCCCTTCTTGGTATTGATGATAACTATTAGTACATGTAAAAAGGTATAAAACAATCTCTGCTTACCTGCCTTCAGACTCCTAAGGCCCCATTCACACTGAGCGACATGAAAATCGTGCGATTTTATATGAGCGATATTAAGCGACTTGTTCCTATTGGGCTATATGCAATAGGGAGCAAAATCGCTCGAAAAAAGGGTCATGTAGGAGCAACAAGCTACAGCGACGAGCTACAAGCGATATTGAGCGACGAGATGTGAACAGCTCCATTGAAATGGATTGGAGAAGCTACATAGAGCGATATCGTGTGGAAATATATGAGCGATATCGCTGCAAAAATCGCTCAGTGTGAATGGGGTCTTAAGTTTTCTGAATGAGCTTGTTTTACATAGCTGTGAGGGTGAAGTGAAGTTAGACCTGTTAGTAACTGCAATGGAAGGGCACCTCTATATAACTAGCAGTTGCTAGTCACATTGAACTGGATTACTTCTGTAATGATGTAGATGTTCTCTGCTAAACAAAGTGACATCTTCAGTTCCAACGAGAATTAAGAACATGTATATAAGTGTTGGAATTTCTTCCTAATACTCATAACTCGGGAAGCTACTGGTATGAGCATTGAAATATATTTACATTACACAGAAAGTCCATTTTAAATGTGACTGATTACTACTAGCTACACCATGACCTGAATAAATGAGGAACTTTAGAGACACACCTAGATAATGCCTAATACAAGTTTTCCTAAGGGTAAACATGAGAAATGCTCCAAAGCCCTTCATTTTGTTCTCTTTATTTTTTGGTCTGGTTTACACTCAGCAGACACCCCAGTGCAGTGTTTTCTCAGAGGCACAACCATTATTTTCCCTCACATTCCAGATTTGTTGATAATCTCCCCTACCTCAGAAATCGATCATCCAGGGGTGTCTGCTACAGCTGTCAGTGGCTGTCGTGTAAATAAATAAAGCTGCTAGCAGCTTTTAGGTGCTTGCACGCGCAATATCTGGCATTGTCCCCTCTATGGCCATTGTTGGGCAGTTCTTATCAGACAAACCTCCAGCACCTACTGGTAGTAACAAAGCTCCCCTGTCGCCTCCCACCTACAAGACATTCCTACATGCAAGTGACACTGTAAATCACACATTAGGAATGTGTAGAGGCAGGAGTGAGTGGGAAAGTTCCACCACTACCGAGAAGTGCATGAGCTTTGCCCATTCGGACAAGCCCACCATTAAGGTGTAGATGGGGTAGGGAAACATGCTGCTGGTAAGTGCAGGCATCTAGAAGATTTTACAAATGTTCCCCGAATCATGAGATTCATGTTGGCTTCTTCATGCCTATGTAAATTTTGTTGATGAATCAGGCAAGGGTCATCGTCTGTCACATCAGAAGAGGATTATCTACTGCTGGAAGATTTTGAAAGCAAAAAGATCTCTTGGCAGTGAGTTTGAGGTTACCACGATGGGTATTGCACCTTGCATGTGTGTTTTGTACTTTGGTTTGAACATGAATGACATTTGGCTTTGTATACTTGTTATGAACTTGCAGTTTTCGGCACTTATGATATTTACTGAATTTCCTTAACCATCATGGTAACATATTCATCCTTTTTTAGAACTTTATTTCTTTCTGTCAGAGCAGGTTCATGCAAATGTTTAAAAAATGTAGAATTCTGTATACTGAAGACATTGAGGGCTCATTCACACCTTTTGTGTTTTATGTGTTTTTATTGACAACTCATCAGATCAATGCCATTCCATCAAAACAGGTCATTGCATGTTAAAAATGCACTTTACATGACATGCCTTTTCATGTGTATATACATTGATTTCATGCGTGTTTAATGAGTTTTAAAGCATTCCCATTGATTTTGGAAAATTATGAGGCAAAAACAGAAAGGTATGAGTTCCACCTAAAGAAAGTAAAATATAATCTTAATAGATCTTACCTTAACACTGTTAAAGCCCAACTCTGTTTTCTCTCAATTTCCCCAAGGCCCTCTGCAAGTAAGTTAAGCTGTTTTTTTTTAATGTTGCTTCACTTACCATTTTTGAAGTCTTCAAGCTGGTCAGGTAATATGGAAGGGTCCTGTTCAACTCTTCAGACTGACCATTGCAGAAAGCTGCAGAGATCAGCGCTGATGTGGGGACATCAGCATTGCTCTTTGCACCAATTTAATAAATATTTATAGCAATCTAAAAATAAACATATACACATATGTATAAGAAGGCTAATACGGTCCACCAAGGCAAATTGCATGAAAGTGCAAAAACAGGATAGTCCCACCTAGGTGGAACTGTAGGTCAGATAGGCAGTCACATAGACATAGCAGGGTTGTACAAATTAATATAGAATTCAGGAGCCAAGCTGTTTAATCTGGGAGCCAGCTCCATTGACCACCACTATAGAAAACCTCAAAAGTTAGGTGCTCCTGTCACTTTTAAGGTCATAACAGGTTACACCTAGAAAGCGTATGGACTTCTAGAGTAATGGAGGAGAGGAAGGGATTGGTGGTCTACTCTTCAGCAAATCAATACGTGCAAAGAGAAGAAAACAAGAAAGAAGCAAGAAATAAAAGGGCAATATAAGAAGGGATATGGACAGGGACAGCTAGATGGGTAAGGCACCATTTGGGTAATATTAATTGGGTAGTGGCCTGCAAATAATGACTGCAATAAGCCTGATAACTTGTGTCCAGAATTTGGGGACTACCAGGCACTGTCACAAGATGAGTAAATGGGTGCCAGGGTCTGAGCAATCACAAAAGCATTTGGGGGAGTAGTTGGGTACACGAGTAGCAAGACGCGCAGGGACTAAATACCATCTAGATAACAGAGTTCATCTCCAATGAGCCAACATTAGCAGAGCATGATTTAGTCATTGACCATATCTGTAGCTAGAGCATTTTAAAGAAAAATATAAATCAGAGAAGTCCCAGACTATGTAAATTGTGGTAAGATTTGGCTTTGCATATTGTGAGGAATACTCTGGGGTAGCGAAAGTACTCCTGCGGGCATATTCTTTTCTCTAAGGTATTCAAAGTTTTTAAGGCGTGGTGGAAGTAAGTGGGACCTAAACTAAGCCAGTTGGCAAAGAATTCTGGGTGTTCAGCTCCTGGGTGAAACTGGGGCCTGAAGTTTGACCGCATGGGCAGGTTAAAAGAAATCATTCTACCAGAATATTTAACGAAGTCCCATAATTTCCGAGACTAAAGGATGATTGGGTTGTGTTCTCTGTCTAGCTTTAGAGAGGAGCCACAGGATGTAGTCTGTTTTGATAGGATCAGTAGCCTCCAGATGGACCCATAGAGGTGTTTGAGTGTGTGCATGGCATTCGACCAGTTGTCTTAATTTGACTGCCAGATAGTATTTAGAAAACTGCACAAACCCAAACTACCTTTGATTCCATGTAGAAACTTCAAGTCTGGAACTTGTATCAGGAGGACTCTAAAGTAAGTCATTATAGTATTATTGGGTGAAAGGTTCATTTTTATGGCAACCACTGCACTGAACCATGTAGTGTTATATTTTTTCCAAGTGGTCATAAGAGCTTAGATAAATGGGCCTGGGTACTTGGCCGCATAAATTGACTTTTTTGTTTCTTTAAAAGAAAACTTAACAAAATGGCTCTTACTCTGTAAGTCTGCAATGGGAATTCAAAAATCTTAAGGTACAAAAACTGTTAGCACCCAAACTTGCTTGTGGTTTGTTTTTTGTTTTGTTTTTACTAATATGTGGTTCTTTTATCTGAATGATATTAAATTTTCAAATTTTAACACATTTTTCACAGAAACCAATTTTCTCCTGTGCGAGATGGAAGAGAATGTCGTTGAACACTTCTGTTCTCTTCTGTTCTGTTAAATATCCTGCCAGTCAGTGAAATAGTCTGTGACATTAAAGTAAGGCAGATGGGACGGTGTTTCGCTCTTTAATGGCACATTAGAAAAATGTGTTTGACACTAATAATATTGCTTGATATTTCCAGTTTTTTAATAACCGCTTCATATGTTTTGTTTTATATTATTAATTTCTTTTTTTTACCTTTTTTATTATTTTGTCAAATGTTGGATACTGTTTAATCTAAGTTTGTAATGCTTTCATGCATGCAGGTCTCACGCAGATTCAGCAAAGTCTTTACCATCTGAAACAGACTGTAATGACAACGTTGCCACTCACAAGAGTTCCTCCTCCCACAAACATGCCTTAAATGGATATTACCAACAATCAAGTGTTTATGACTCTCCATCCCGTGTTGGCTCCTCTTCAGAGTCTAGTTTTTACAACCTCCCCAGAAGCTATTCTCAAGATATTTTACCAAAAGCTGTGTCTCCATCTGCTACGGACATGGATGCAGATCAGAGTGTTTTCAATATGTCCGGAGCCTCCTTATTAGAATCTCAACTAAGACATATTGCCGTAAGCTATGACATTCCTCCTAGTTCAGGAAGCACTTATCAGATACCTAGGACCATGCATGAAAACTCAGTGGCGCAGTCTTCGTCAAAATTAGAGACGGTTACAGATGTTCCTCCACCTAGGCCGCCAAAGCCCTATTACTCTTCAGAGCGTTCCCCTGCAGAACACAGCCGCACTGCCTCAGAGACTGACAGCAACTATAGTGTTCCTACTGGTGGAATTGCATCGTCGCGGAGTAATACCGTTTCTAGCTTAGAGCTAAACAAATACAGGAAAGGTAAAGATTACTCTTGGGTTTTATCTGAGTATTGTTTTCAGTTAAGGGAATCCGGGTTTATTTAGGATTGTTTTAAATGTATTCATATAGTGTATATGGATTTTGGTTTTGATTCACTCAAATTTGAGAATTACAAATTGTCAGTGACAATTTAGCAATATATAATAGCTTTGTCTAAAGGAACAAGGTAATAGTCCAAGAAAGGCAACCATTTGCAACCGACAAATCTGCAGCAACTGTGTGATGCTATCATGTCCGTATGGACCAAACTCTCTAAGGAATGTTTCCATCACCTTGTTAAATTCCACAAAGAATGAAAGCAGTTCTGAAGACAAATGGGGTCCAACCTATACTAGCAAGGTGTACCTAATAAAGTGGCCAGTGAGTGTAGATTTAATCCCTCTCCCTCATAACAAAGGGTTAAAGCCTTGCACTCTCAAACTGCTCAGAGTAGCTTGGAATCTGCAAAAAGTACTTTGCCAAACAAACAGCTAAAAGTTAAGAAATATATATGCTGTATTTTGCGCTCCAAAACACGCACCTGACCATAAGACACGTGTAGTTCCTGACAGCTGAGACAGGTGGCGCTGTGATTACAGCACCACGGTCTCGGTGATCACACAGGGCAGACGAAGAACAGACATTCTTTGTCTGCTCTACGGGCTCTATGGTGAGCTATGCCGTGCTCACGGGTCCCCTAGAGGAGCGCAGGACCCCGAAAACTGTGCGTGCATCTTATGGAGAGAAAAATATGGTATATGTTTTTTGGTATGCTGTGGGAAATGGAAATACATAACAAACATATTTTGGGGTTCTCGCAAATTTGACTGCACAATTGGAACTACACTTTAAATTGTGGGACCCCAATCCGTCAGGAGTCCTGGGCCTTCCCCTGTGTAGAACTTCTTCTGGTCATTTGTCTGTTGCGTAGAATAAGTAAAAGCCTTACTCCAGCCAATTCTTTTTGTTTTGGCTACAGCAGGGAAGGGTTAGAACATCTGTCAGGTTTTTATTGCAGACTGTGTCCCTGTTAGACAGATTTCCCTTTTCTCTAATAGGGACATAGACAATAACAGTGGGGAAGGGTTAGAACCTGTGACTAGGTTTTTTTTATTGCTGACTGTGCTTTCCTGTCTGCCGGTGAAAGGAAGCAAAGGAATTTCTCTTTAATAGGGTCCCAAACTGAAATAAATACCCGAGAAATGTTAAGACCTTTACACTCTATCCAAAGCTAAGAGTGCCTAGAGTTCAACAGGAATAACGAGGCCCCCTTGCTTTAGCCACAGCTAATGGGATGTGTTAGGAACTCTGACATACAGGTCTGATGTAAGGAGAAGAGTTATTTGGATAGGAACTTCTTTGTACTTCACATAATATCTAACATGCATGTCTGGGCTTAAACTAGAGCTTGCTCATGAAGCTTGACTTCACATGTAGAAATAGAAGTGTGGAATATTTTAAATACTGTCTCATAATTAAGTGTTGTATCCTGCACTCCCTTTGAGTCATGCTGACAGCTTCATGCTGTTTAATGCATTTGGTGTATGTGGAGGTTTTACTAATCAGACTTTTAGGCGAGACTTCCATTAGTATCGGGGAATGATCACTTCATAGTGTCTGATATGAATAATATGTTCCTTGGGATCTGCTGGCTGTATCTGTGTGGATAGATTTAAACAAAACTTGTAGATAGTTTAGCTATTTTAGATGTAGTTGGTGGCAGTACAAATAGCCTCCTATTAATTGCTGCCATTAAAACAAAATGCCCTTTTTACTCATAACAAATCAACAACCATGTAATGCTCCAGTCTGGAGTCTTCTCTGCTTCTCTGTGTATAGGAGGCATGATCCTATTTCAGGTGTCCACGTCGCTGCCTGTGTGGCATGGATACTTTTATTGGCTTCTCAGTGATGGGGTCTTCTGGGGACACGGAAGAGGATTCTCAACATGCACTGGATGGATTACATGGCAAAGGGAGGGTTTTGAAAGGGGGGTTAACTTTTGCCTGATGATGGTCTTTAAAGCCTGACCAAGGAACTGAACACTTCCTCACTCTATTAGGAACTTAAAATTGCGCTTGTCAAGCCTGTAATTTGCATTTGTGGAACTGCAGGTTCCACTGTGCTGTCACTTTGTGTTCCTCAAAAGAGGAAGGGTAATTAGTTGTGTATGAAAGAAATTAAGAGTAGGAGCATTAATACACTGGCCTTGGCACTCCCCTGATTTTGTTACCTTCATAATGCAGAAGGGAGAGACACACAGACCCAGGGTGTGATTGGACAGTCACATCCTTAAATAAAAACAATTGCCACTTTAGAACCATGGGATTGGTTAGAGCCTCTGTTGGAGTTTTGATTTTTGGTTTGTTCCCTGTGTCTAGCTGAAGCTTACCAGCAATTTTGGTTAATTTACTTTGGTGAACTGGTCTAACTGGAAGTCTATAATCGCTCAAATGCTTAAATTTGAAAGGAACCTTTGCAGATCAAATATGGTAGCTGCCATTGTAAGCTGCTGCATTTGGGGCTCTTCTGATCTGGCTCCACCACCTAGTCAATGACTTGCAAATAAACAACTATACAGGAAGGAAATTGATCAAATGGTTACCGTATTTTCCCGTCTATAAGACGCCCCCATGTATAAGACGCCCCCAACTTTTCTTACCCAAAATACAAAAATCAATATTTTAAATGATATTATGCATCACACTTACCTCTGAGCCAATCACTTTATTCAGCCTCTGTTGCATCACTGGTTTCTTCATCACTTTTAGCTTCAAACATATCAGTTTCTTCAACTTCTGCTGTCTGCTGAGTCACTGTCTATATATACAAGATCATCCTCAGTTCCGTCCATGGCATTGCTGATTCCACATTTCTTGAAGGACTTCACAATCACCTCTTGTTTGACACCATACCATGAGTTTTTCACTTTCTGACATTTTTATGGTCACAGAATGCTCCGACATTACCACTCTGGGCACTGCCTACACGATCTCCCCAGCAACAGCAGACCTCAGGTTCAAAAGATTTATGACTGGAGGAGAACTGTTATCTTGTCTCTGCAATCCGTGAGGCTAGTTTGCAGTGGTATCAGCACTTTCAAAACCACGGCCCCCGTGTATAAGACGCACCTCTATTTTTAGATAAAGATTTTTATGAAAAAGTAGCGTCTTATACACGGAAAAATACGGTACGTGCTTATTTCAGGTCAGTAAATCACTAGGTACAGAATAAGGCAATAACTGTCCCCAAGCCTGGACTGTTAAAAATATTGCCACTCAAAGCCAACACTTCATTTTATGGTAAATGCCTTTAAATTACCTGTTTCATGTGCCTCTGTGGGGTCTTCTGAATCTGCACACTTGCTGTGCCCAATATCAAGGGGTCCCTCTTACTGTGATGACTTTTGTATTTATTTTTTTACTGAGAATGCAGCAGTAAGTTACTTGACTGTAAAGTACAGTATATGTTCTACCTTCTGAAAGGAAGATAACTGGCTAAAATGTTTTATGAAAACTAAAAAAAAATATAACAAAATGGGGCGTCATATCTTGTGATCGTTGTTTTGTGGGGATTAAACAATATAATTAACATTTAATTGCACACATGAATTGCAAAATGATTTGCTTTTTTTTTAATCTGTTACAATTCAGTTTTTTAAAATGTTTAACTTTTTCTTAAATGTTTTGTCACAAACGTTGTCTTTGTAGAAATGAGTTCTCAAGATTTCTACGATGTCCCTCGTCCTTTTACCGGTGACAGATCTAGTTCTCTTGAGGCCTTTCATGGACATTTTGTAAGTTTTTGATCTACTTTATTCCTTGGGCATTTATGGATGATGTATTTATGCATTATTCAGATCCTTGCTTAAATTGCAGTTGGATATATTTTCTTTCTTCCAGAAAAACAGAAGCATGTTAACAGGAAGTTTTTCAACTGAGGAATTAGATGAAAACTATGTTCCAATGAACCCGAATTCACCTCCTCGACAGCATTCTAACAGCTGTACAGAGCCCATCCAAGAAACAAATTATGTACCTATGACTCCAGGCACATTTGACTTTTCTGCATTTGGAATGCAAGTTCCCCCTCCAGCACATATGGGCTTCAGATCCAGTCCACAGACTCCGCCAAGAAGGTCCGTTCCCTCTACAGACTGCGAGCCTCCACCCGTTGACAGGAATCTCAAACCAGACAGAAAAGGTAGGCTGAGCTTTCAGAGAACTTTTGCTTACTCCTGCCGTTACTCAGCAAGGCTACCAACTGCTGCTAAGTCTAACCTGCTTTCTGTAAAGCTTTAAGACCGTTGGTGATGTTTTGGCTTGGGAAGAGGGTTGATATTGAAAACTAAACCAAGTAATGATCAATACCTGAAAACTAACTGTAAACAGATGAGACAGCAGTTAACTACACCTAACATTTGTATCAAAATGTTAACATTTCCTTAATTGCAGATAATTTTGATATTTTCAGATATCTGTGAAACATTTTTCAAAAAATGTTCTACCAATGAAGGGCAATTTAATATTTTGATTCTTTGCTTTTGCATAATGCATGCATGAAGAATTTAATGAAAAGGAATTGGAAATGAAAATTATTACAATTATTTTAAAATGTCACTTGCCTCAGTCATGGTATTTTCTTCCATTCCAAAGAGGCGGATAGTTTGAGGACTGCCATTGTTGGAAAGTGTTGGAGATGGGAAGGAGAAGGACTGGGGGGAAATAAATCTCCCTTTGCCGTGTACCATCTGAGAGTTACAAAATATTTCACCTTACCCATATGAAATTCTTTATCTTTTAAAAAGAGAACACCAAGCAAACTGTTCATATATAAGTAAATTATTTGTAGACCCAATCTTTAAATCTCATATAATTTTTAATATGTTAATGAATTTTAAAAGTTATATCCAAAATGTTTAAATCTGCAGCTTTTCCTTAAATAATACCTGGTGATCTTGTCTTATTCAGGCATTTCCTTTTATATTATTGACCAGAGGCACACTTCTCTCTAGAGGGTCAAAACAACAAATGGCAATACCTGCTGAAAGAAGAGGCTCTATTTTTAGTTTTTTTCTTTTATAAATTATTTTATTACAAATTGAAGTACAAAAAGTTCCAAATCAGAGATATACATATCGGTTACAGAAGGGGTAGGGAAGAGAGAACAATTTGAGAAAAAAAGAGGATCCATTTTTAACGTTTTGGCGTTCTGCATCATGAAACTGCATGAAACAGCCACCGCAAGTATTCCATACTTCTGGTTGTGTAAAATCCAGATAATCCCTCAGCAGGTTGTGGTTCCTCCTGCCGGTTCATATGTCACTTGAGGATGTCATGATGTGTGAGGTGATTGTAGGGGGAAGCAAACCCAGAAGTGTTTATATACTTGCGGCAGTTGGGGAGGAGCATTTCAAGATTCAGGCTTCAGAAAGGAGGCATCTTTGTTGTTTTGACCTGTAGTGAAATGGTCACTTTAAGTCCACTCAAAACTCCTTTATCAGAGGTTGCTAGGAGATTAAATGACCTATTATATTGTAATGCCTATTATATACTCCCCTAGACCAGCAATATTTTCATTATATGTCCTGGAATCTTGGTGGACATTAGATATTACAGTGGTCTCGTTGGCTTATAATTAAGAGATATTTGACACAGTTGCTCTTACTAAAGCGAAAAGAGAAGGTACTGGTCACATCTGGAAGTGGATCTCCCATTCTGTGTTATTAGGGAATGTAAGAAACTGGTGACTGAATATCATCTGTATTCACCCAAAACTGACTGTATTTTAATGGAGTACAACAATAGGTCTTGGCATGGACCTTACAGAGGGTACTTCATCCATTTGGGATATGGTTTACAACACACAATTTTCCCCATGATACCCTCTCCTTCCCATCAATTTAAAACTAAGGAATTAAACCAAGACTCTAGGCTCTAGCCTGGACTTTAATATAATTTCAAGTGGGGTAGCTGCAACCCATCTGTTGATTTTATACTGCTATTGAATTAAATATATATGTATTATATATATTTGTTGATTAAAATGTGCATGCTTGTATGTGTATATCACTGTAAAAAAAAAAATACACCTTATTAAATTTAACACTCCAGTCGCTGACTGGTGCCGTTTAAAAAATTTCTTAAATATAGAAATGGGTGTTACGAGAGGAGGCCCATAAGTTCTTACCCTCACCAAGTTCCAGATGTGCTAGGTTTATAGGTGGATATCTTGGTAATATGCATGCCAAATTTTGTTTTTGTAGGTCGTGGTGAATTATAGTTAGAGCCAAGAGAAATGGATTAGGTGTCATGCCGGACAAAATTGAATACTGAGCCGTGATTAAGTTTCTGCATCTTCAAGGGAAATCTGCCCAAATAATCCATGAAGAGATGTCAGCGATTGTGGCTATGAATCTCTGCCCCATCCACCTTACTCACCTGACCTGGCACCTTCAGACTTCTTCCTGTTTCCAAATCTGGATTGTGGAAGCAGCTTTCCTGTAAATGTTTCTTCAGATTATTTGGGCAGATGTCCCTTGAAGATGGAGGAACCTAATCACAGCTCGGTATTCAACATTGTCCGCCATGACACCTCCATTTCTCTTGGCTCTAACTATAATTCACCACGACCTACAAAAACAAAATTTGGCATGCATATTACTAAGATATCCACCTATAAACCTGCAATTTCAGATCCCTAGCACATCTAGATCATGGTGAGGGTAAGAACTTATTGGCCTCCCTCATATATGTAAAGGATTACAATTATTCGATCTATATGTACTTTGAAGGGTTTTCTTTCCTAAACGCCAACTCCAGCCAAAACTCTTTTTGTTTTGTTATGGACAGAGTGAGGAAGAGAGAGAATCTTTTCTCAGGTTTGATTTGCAATATATGTCGTCTCGGGAGATTTCCCCTCACTTCTGGTACACAGACTGCATCAAGACTCCTTTGTTACTTGGTATAGGATTTGACCCTTTGTCGTGTTATTGTTACTGTCTTGGTCTTCCTGTCCTGGTGACAACTGCTCCCTTCATTTCATATCCTGCTGTCACAGTGACAGATGCAATCTCCCCAATTAAGTCACACACACCAAAAAACTTGACAAGTGCTTATTCTTCCCACGTTTATCCCGGCATAAAAGTTTTGGTTGGAGTTAAAGCAGAACTTTAGGCACAGTCTCGCTAATATCATGCAATATAAAAAATTGCAGCTACCACCAGTTTATTCTACACAGTCTCTACATTCAAGAAATATATCATTTTGGGGGGGTTTTAAGTGATCTTCAGGCCTTTATTGTGCATTTTAACACGTGCAAAACCATCTCTGGTGAAAGGGTTAAAATCACTACTTTTTACAGAATACATTGATCGGTGTATAAGAGCCACAGCTCTATCAACAGCAGGCCGGAGGTATAGCAGGAACTGTAATATCCATCATAAAGAAAAGTAGTGATTTTTAAAGAACAGAACAGAGATGAGCAGAAGTAAAACTCTTATACACAATGGAAGTTAAAGTAAAAAACGTGGTTAGAGTTCTGCTTTAAACCCCTAATGACCAGAAAGTAAAACCTCAATGTCTGCAACTTTGACATGTGTAAAACTGTAGATATCATTGCACCTACTTGGTTAATGCTAATGGATATTTACATGTTTTTTTGGCCCAAAATAAGAAATATTCGTATTTTTAGCTGTATATTTCTTGCTAGAACCATGACCCGCCACCAACAACGGTTACTGCAGCCTTGTAGGGAATACACTGTTTTTTCTATTCACTTACAAAAGATTCTGAGCAGACTTTATAAGAATTCCAGGAATTGTATTTATCTTTCAGTCCATGGAGTCCGCAAATCCACTGATGGTGTACTTTTCTAAAGTAATTATTAAAAAAAAGTATGTTTTTAAAACACAACCATAATAATAGGTCCTCTGTGTGTGAGCACATTTTTTTATATTTGTCTTTCTTGGTGGTTTCGCCCCTAAAACGTTATCAGAGTAATAACAGAATGTATTTGTTTTGGAAGCATTTTGTTGCATTTAATGATGTAGTTACTGCAGATTCTTTTCTTACATTTTGCAATTTGAAGAGCTACTCCAGGCAAATTATTTAAAATCTAATTATGTCCTACTAAGAGACTTTTATATACAACTAATGTATGTGCCTCCCTATCAGCCTTTTGTGATTTCATTCTTGACTGGGGAAAGCATGCTTGGAGTAGGTTACCTAATTGGTGTGCTACTGATTCTTCATTCTCCAACTGCCGGGCTAGGGAAATAAAGGTAACTGAGGAAGCAGAGCTTGGAAAGCCATTGCCCCTTAGTCATCCTAGGTTCTACTGTTTACTCTAATTTCAGGGAGGAAGGTGTTGAACTGCGCAGATTAAAGATGTTTGCAACCAGAAGAGTAGGCTAAGACGTTAATGTATTTATGGGGCATATAACCAAGATCCTTATTTTCTTTTTCTTGGAGTTCTGCTTCAAAACTATAATAATGAAATGTACAGATGCTTTGGTTTTAAGTTGGTCATTTTGTGGTAAGTTATGTGTTACAAAATTATTAAATACATGAGGAAAATAATGATTTGATCCCCTGCAGATTTTGTAAGTTTGCCCACTTACAAAGAAATTAAAGGTCTATCATTTTTATCATAGGTGTATTTTAAATGATAGACATGAATATCAACCAAAAATCCAGAAAAAACACGATACAAATGTTATAAACTGAGACGCAGCAAAGTGAGTAAAATAAGTATTTGATCCCCTACCAACTAACAATAATTCTGGCTCCCACAGACTGGCTATGTGGTACACAGATTAGTCCTGTCAATGTAAGAAGGTGCTCCTAACGACAACTTATTATGTATATAAAAGACAGCTGTCCACAGAATCTCTTTCTTCCATTCAAACCTCGCCACCACAGGCAAGACCAAAGAGCTGTCAAAGGACGTTAGGGACAAGATTGTAGACCTGCACAAGGCTGGAATGGGCTACAAGACTATCGACAAGAAGCTTGGTGAGAAGGAAACAACTGTTGGAGCGATTATTCGCAAATGGAAGGAATACAAAATGACTATCAATCGACCTCGCTCTGGAGCTCCATGCAAGATTTCGCTTCATGAAGTAAGGATGATCATGAGAAAAGTGAAGGATTAGCCCAGAACTACATGGGAGGAGCTTGTGAATGATCTCAAGGCAGTTGGGA